CTGAGGCAGACTGTTCTAGGCTGCAGATGAAATCAATCCCAGAAAGTGCAAAATAATCACCTGTAGTGCCACTGGTGAAGCAAACAATACTGAGGTCCTCTGGCTTTGGTGGCTGTTGGGACATGAAATCAGCACATCAGAACACCATGCAGCTTATTAAATCTCAAATTGATTAAGGGAGTTTATCCGAAACGAACTTACAACAGGCTTTTCAAGATTGCTTTTCCCCAGAGCCTGGAGAACAAAGAAAACACATGTTTTCAATCATGGTTGTGCTTCTTCTAACAGTATTATTTGCAAGTACGGAACTAAAAAAAGAAGTTAATTCTTGAAACAAAGCCAGTATAAACAAGCAAAGAGTCCCCAATAACTTGTGTTCAGCGTGTAATACCTCCACATCCTGCATGGACACGATGTCCACCCCACACTTAGTTCCTCGCTCGACCAACTCAGAGTTGAAAGAGTCCATGATGACGATAGTTTTGAGAACTGGGGTCTGGCCTGTCTCCCGGGTCTGCAGCAGTGTTTCTGCTTTGTTTTGATTGTCACAAAGCACCGTGGAGATCTCCGCTGCAAGAAGAAGACTTTTTAAGCTGTATGGTAGTTGTAGTTAAATAGTATAGAGTACAATAGCAGCAAAAGTTGACACCAGTGCAGTTGGTGTTAGATTAGAAGTTCTTTTTGTTGACACTAATGTAGTACGAGTAAGATTCATGGAGTAAAAAAAAAAAAAAAAAACAGGGTTTATAAAAAGGAAAGACCTACTGGAATAGGGTTGCTCTTGGTCTTCTTATTAACTCAGATAATCAAAAGCAAAATGAAGCACAGATGGAAGGAGCTGATGTGATAAATAAGTGGGAAGAGATTACGGCACACTCGACACAGATCCCTGTGGGGACCGATGAGTTACTGGACTCCGACCCGGCTCTGTAATTAGTAGCATTAGAGTGCAAGAGAAGCTCCAATTACCTTGGTTGATAATGAACACAAGAGCCTCAGGACCCAGGGTGTCGTACAGGGGGACTGCTACCATGGAGTAGGTGTAACAGGCCAGTTCGCTGATAATCCACTGCAAGAGACCCATGAAACACAATTTACACAGAACGCCCACCAAGACTTCACCCTGTTAGCCCCGTATCAACGTCCACACTTACCTCTGGTCTGTTCTGAGCAAAGATGCCAATAAAATTGTCCGGATTTGGCTTCAAACCCTTATGGAGAAGCCCTGACCCCAGGTGCTCCGCTCTATCAGCCACCTTCATTGAGAGGAAGAGGAGTAAAAGGTCAGCTGGAGTTCACAGCAGTTCCTTTACCATGTTTTCCCAATGATTAACGCTGCCATTTTACCTGTCTGTACTTCAGCCACTGGTATGGCCTTCCTGGTTTTCTGTAGCCCAAACATGGTCCATTACCTGATGAGAAATAGGCCCAACATTAAACCACATGTACTATATTAGAATAGTTTAGCATTCATGTTAAGCTAAATGCAGTTTTGATCTTAACTAAAGACTTAGTCACCTGTGTATCAATTTGAATCAATATAGCAGTGCAGAAAACATCTAGTTTAAACTCAAATGAACACTTAATTTTATTATTGGCCATCCATATACAACCAAAATGTACATCCTAATTACACTTACTGGCAACACCAGCACATTTCTATTCTCAACATTTCTTTATTTTGGCTTGCATGTGGAAAAGGAAAAGTTCTCATTACCTGAAACTTTGAGACCCCTCTGAAAAACTTCATAGAGGGTCTTGGCCTCATTATAGTAATACGACATCAGGTTGTTGTTATCCTCAAGCAATGCAGTCTTCCTCGCTCCATCCTGAGGACATGAAGCACAAATGAGAATAAACAGCAGGCTTGCATTTCACTGATCGACTCTTAACTGACGCATCTATAAATCATTAAAAAGGGTTAAAGCTGTAAAAGTTACACTTTTCACTATATGGATGCATTTTAGATGAATAAAAACTTTACCTTGATGCCCAGAGTTTGACAGTTGAGGTCTACGGGGCTCCGGAGGGGGCTGGGCCGTGTGTTGAGGTAAAACAGAGTAGCAGCAGCCAGGGCAAACAGGGAGATGACAGCTGGGGTCGGGAGAGGGGAGAACAGCAACTGGAAAAGGAAGTCCATGGTGCACGGTCTGCAGGGACACAGAAAAGATTAATAAAAAAAAAAAATATAAAAACCCAGATAAACAATAAAAACTTATTTTATATGTACAGACGCATACACACTCAATAGTAAACAAAATAAAGTTATTCATTGTTTAAAGCCCTTTGAATAAGATTAACTTTTACATAGACTCACTTATATAAGTGTAGTTTAAAACTGGACCATATTCAAAACATATACAGTCCTATTACGCAATCCAAGCTCCTTGACACTGCTCTTGATATTGTCTCCATAATAACTTGAGGTCAAAGTCAACGTGACTTGTGCAACAGTTATTCCTAATCAGATAAAAGCCAACCTGTGAATGCTGACATCATCATTACAGTCTGTACATACGAGGCTCATCACAATATGGGAGTATTTACATTCACTGTTGTTCAGTTTGGATTCAACAGCTGTTAAACTGATAATGTATGAAATTAAAAAAGTGCATTTAATTTTCTTCTTAAATCTAAGTTTTCTTGCCCTTTGAGACCTATTGGGTCATGTGTCATTTGTGAACTACACAGGGGTCAGTGTTAATCATTTTATGGAGGAGATACCAAGAGTCATATTGGGAAGAGACATGTTATGGCATTTGTCACTAATAGCTGGATTTAAAGTTGATTAAGATGAACTAAGTGTGAAACTTCAGCATGCATCTGGTGGCAAAACTCATAATAATTAGAATTATTTTGTGCAATATACATCTTCTGGCCACCATATAACACTCATTTGACAAATCTATAAGTTTGTAAGAATTGATCCATCAAAAATAATAAAATAAAATGAATAATAAATAAGACGAACTGCAGCAGAATGTGAACTGTGACTCTCCTACCTGCTGCTGGATCTGGTCTCAGGTGCTCCACTCTGCTCCCAGTTGACAGGCAGGTTGGTGTGTGTGGTGGGTGTACACAGCCGCTCCTCTTCCTCTCCTCTGAAGTGTGATAGACAGAATGACAACTCAAAAAAAAAAAAAAAAAACAGCCTGACAGAGTTAAAAGAACCTTTGAACCTTGGCCACCATCACTTCCACTGATAAAACATGAGCACAAACGTAGAAGCAGCTCTGAGTTGTGTCATCATATTAAAGTGTGTGTTGTGAAATTAATTAAGCTGCTAAAGAATCTGCCCCCCCTCCCCCCACTATCAGCTCTACCAACCAATAAATGGCTTTGATTTTAGTCCAGATAGATAAACTTTTATCTAATACGATGTCAGAGGAACGCCAAGATGCTGCAGCTGATGAAAGGTCAACAGTCTTATCATGTTCAAAGTCCTCACGTTACAGAAACGGAAAGAAAATTCTTTAAAAAAAAAAAAAAAAAACAAAACATATGCACTAGTTAAATACCCATCAGGACACACAGCATCAGTGCAAGTTGTATCAAAGCCTTTCTGTGTCTGTGTGATGTTTAACACTGAACTGGCAATAAACTGAGATTGTGCTTCATATTTGATCACACTGATTAAAGTGAAAACGTTTTCCAGACGGCCACCACCAACGGATACACCACAAAATAACAGTAAATGCTAAAATGTATCATAAAAGTACAAAGACAAAGGCAAAATAACATTAGCCACCATGCTAACAGACTGCATGGCTGCAACAATACAACCACTCGACTTGATTTATGGTGCTCAACGTTCCAGTTGTAAGATTGTGACATTTCATGTTTTAAAAGTCACATAGACTCACTTTATAAGGCTTATCTCAACAGTCACTTTCACATTTAACTGAATGACAGACGCAAATTACACTTTGATAAACCTCCTGTCAAAACTTTAGGTATTCACTTGCTGAACTTCTCACATGTTTTCTTGTGTGAGTGATTTGATTTCTGCTGGACAGTGAGCTGAAGGTAAAGGTTCATTAGGAGAAGCTTTGAAAGGTTACCTGGTGGGATTAGCAGAGGTAGTTTGGGGCCAAGCTGAGCAGAGATCCCCTGGGGAAAAAGCAGCTGAAGCCAGCAACACCACTAATGTACAATCTGCCCACCTGTGGTCATTAGCACCTTAAACTGCACACAGGTGTGAGAACTTCTCTGCAACAAGCAAGGCTCAACCTGCCTCTGCAGCGCTGTGCCAGCGGATAACACTCCCAGGAGGTCTGCAGCACTTTTCACCTGCATTTTGCTGTATTGCCTTTTAAAAAATATATATTTTTCTTAATTGAATTAGCCCACATTCTTTAAATAAAATTGTCCACTCCCCTCACCTGTGTGTATCCCTGCTAAAGACAGGAGAGATTATGATGAACTTTGACACGATATTTATGATCGTTGGTGATAACTAAAGGTGGATGTGGTACCTTTGGAATTTACTGATCTATGGTTGATAAAAATCGAATCAAGGATTTAAATATGTCTTTGATGATATCAGATGAGAGTTAAATGTTACCCGACTACAGGTCACCAAAAGGGTCACAAGGCTTTTAAGGGGTGCAATAAAACTTATACATAAAGTATGCCTCTATCTCAGAATGTCATTCATTTCTGTGAAGAAAACTACATTAATTTGTTATTTTTTAAACATGATTATTTATGATATAAACAAAAAAATATTAAATCTTAATTATAATAAAACATTAAATCTCACAAAATACAAGCATAAGGGTTTATCAGATGTTACTGAATACTGTTATTGCTATGCACTGAATATAATAATAAATATCCATAAAATATCTCACTTAAGGAAAACGTTTGACCCACTGTTGTAAGGTAACAAGAAAACAGAATTATTCTGATTTTCAGGTTATTATAAATTAAAGAGAGCATACCTATGAATATTATATTCCATTTCAGCCAATAGATCCTCCTATGTGCTACACACTGCACCTGTAATGCATTGAGATCGATCTAATCTACCTGAAGAGTTGTGCTTTGAAAAGAAGTTTGTCGTCATTTTTTAAAAGACGTTCAGTCAATTCAATGATGGACTTATAATGCCCCTTTGTACCTCCCAGTCTCTTCCACATATTTACATTTTCTCCTCCCTAACCAACTACCCAGCATCACCGGGGAAGTTGGGTATTTAAGCCCTGTAACCTGACGCAACTAATAGGATGAGAGTGATGTCGAGGGCGATATATTCTCCTGGAATGACGCACATATTGGTGCTTCACTTCACACTTGTGCTTACAGCTGCCACTGTCATTAATAACAGCACCAATGGGTCTCAACCTCACAAGCTGATTATTGGCTTCCAGGCTCCCTGGAATATATCCTTCCCCTTCAGTGCCCTGCGGCTGGGCTCAGCCCTGCAGATAGCTGTGGAGAAGGTCAACACCAATCCCTCCTTCCTGGGGAACTACAGTCTGGATTTTGTGTACATGGATACAGACTGTAATCCCAAAGTTTCCCTGGGAGGATTCATTCACCAGGTGTGGAAAGAAAATGTGTCTGCACTATTTGGTCCAGCGTGCCCTGAAGAAGCCGAGGTATGATTCATGTGACATGGAAATAGATACTTTGTGCATTAGACTTGTTTTTTGTCAAAAACCTGTTTCACCCAGGTTTCTGTCTTTTGTACACTTCTCTTCTCTTCTTAGTTTATATATAAATTATATAAATGACCAAAGATGGACAAAGTACACACATTCTTTACTAAAGTAGAAGTACAGATACTGAAAAAAGTACAGGCTCTGAGATGTATTAAAAAGTACTAATTTCTACTGGCTGTTTCTGTGCAAAGCTAACTAAAACTTCAAACAGGGTTGAGTCTCCCTCTCTCTGTTACGTCTTTTACGTCATTTTCTCGCTGCGTCCTGCATAATATGCCCCAGTGTTGATATTGGGACAGCATGCAATGATGCAAAAACAAATAATAATCATATATATAAGTCGTCAGGAGTAGTAAATAAAGTAAAAATTTAAGTAAAGTACAGATACCTGAAAAAACTAAAAAGCTATAAGCACAGTAACAAGTATTCACACTTTGTTACTTCCCACTGCTGTAAATGACCTACAAGAATATCCCATGCTGCAGGTTTTTAGATGCATGTAGACGACACTGATACACTGTACACTCAGTTCTCAGTTTATTAGGTACATCTAGCTCAGACTGTTAAATGGTAAACATGTGTTATCAAACCATGCTGCTTTAGATTATAAATCATGCAAAAGAGATACTGTGGTTTCACCAGATCATTGAGTTGCTAGTTTTTTTGGTACACTAGAAATAATGCAGTCTAATCCTACAGTCCTATAATAAACCCAACTGTCTTAAAGGTAATAATGATCAGTTTTTGCTTAAACTCTTTCAGAGAGGTATTGATATAACTATGACAAGTTTGTGGTGCTGTTGAATTGTATGGCGTTCTACTGACAGGTGTTTCTATTATTATGTCCACCTGATTTACATCAGTAGGATAGGCTAAAGCACTGATATTATAGCAGCTCTGTTTGAAAACTCATGAAGAACAGAAGGAGTGTAGAAGATAAATGCAATATTTCAATGATCCATAAGGTATTTATTAAGCTTTTTTCTGATTAATAAAATAGTAGAAACAGAGTCAGATGTAATTATCTTTGCAAACAATAGTTTTGGTTTTTATAAAAGTTATTTTGTGACAGACTAGATGCTGACAATTTTTATTTTAAAATGTGTATGTTAGTCCTTTGATCCACTCAATAATAAAAATGTATGTTTAAAAGTCAACCATAACACAAAAAGAACCACTAAAAGAATCAGTATGTTGATGGACAGTCTCACCACAAGATCCATTTAGCAGCTGTTCTGGGGCTTTTGATCATATTGCAAATTCCCATGATGATGGAGTTTGTTGCCTTTAAAAGTTGGAATTTAAGCTTTATATCACCAGAAGGTGTATCCAACAGGTTTCTTGTATATATCTTCACATTTATTGTTAAACTTCTTTGTTAAACAACAACAACAACTTCTACAATAATCAATCCTCTTAAGGTAACACTGTAATCAGGCTATAACATTTAGGATAGGAAGAGCTCATCACTGTTCTCAAGAGACTAAATATATCAGATTTGATAATTTTGTTGAATTTGCAAGTATTAAACTTGTAATTCCTACATAAAAAGGCTCCTACAGTGCTAGAATTTGCTGTGCATGTATGGGGAATTGTCTTCCATCATTTCTACGGACGTTTTTCTCTTTTCGGGGGAATTAAACTAAACCTGGTCACCCCTTCCAGGTCACTGGTCTAATTTCATCCGCATGGAACATCCCCATGTTCGGCTTTGTGGGACAATCCTCCAAAATGGACAACAGTGATATCTATGATTCCTACATCAAAATTGTGCCCCCTCTTAAGAGAAGCTCGGAGGTCCTGGTGAAGACCTTGGAGTTCTTCAGGTGGAATCATGTAGCGATGATTGGAGGGGGATTAGAGTCAAACACTTGGGACAAAGTTGACGCTTTGTGGAAAACCGTCGAGAATCCGCTGAGAGAGAAATTCAAACTGGCTGCAACTATCAAGTTTGATACCAGCAATCCTCAGCTTGTTTATCGAAATATTAAGTACATCGCAACAGTCGCCAGAGGTAAGGAAAGTATGAGCAACTTTGTGGCAAACTCTAACTTTTGTAGCTCTTTAAAACCACATATAACCAAATGTTTCCTGTTATCTTCCAGTAATTGTGGTACTAACAAACAAAGAGGACTCTATGGCTCTTTTGCTGGAGGCCGAGCGACAGGGTCTGATGAATGGTGACTATGTGTTCTTCCTGGTGCAGCATTTTGAGGTCAGTGGCAGCGTGGTGAGTAGAACCTTTAATACACATTAACACTTATATTCAACTGATTTAAGTCGTTGCTGTACCATTACCAGTGAAAATCCATACTCTGGATAAGGTTTGAAAATTATAAATTAATTATAAACCATACAGAGGTTGGGAAAACTGTTAAAACGGTGGCAGAATTTCCACTTTCTGAATAATTTTTTGTAATTTGTGAAACATCGGGTCCATTGATTTTTTCAGCTGAAATGAGCTCCAGGTCATTTTTAAAAAGGGGTAACAGTCTGAAGCTAAAGCTTCACGTCACGGGCAAAAAGTCAACATCCTCACCAGTTAATCCATGAAAATAAAGAAACAGATTTGTTATTGTATTGCAGTGTAGAGCTAGTTAGTCCTATGGTAAGTATGATGAAGGAAACATTTTCAAAATCCGACTACTTTAGATAATAGGACAGCTTCACTTACTGTACAGTACATGTCAAGCCTTAAGTTGCCATCATCCTCTTAAATCTTTCTTATCAAATGATCAAATTTATAACCTCTTTACTAAAGTTGTTTTTTATGTGTATCTTTTTTCTGAGCAGGATAACTTGTGGAAATATTCCCTGAACAACAAGATTAACCAAGACGCCATAAGAGCTTTTGACATGGTCTTTATCATTGGCCAGAAATCCTACGAAGGCTATGAGTACTATGACTTCTTTGAGCAAGTTTTTGAAAGACTAAAAGGGCACCCATTCCGGAGCAACCTGACATCCGACAGAGAGGTAAGAACTCGTGATATGAACTGAATATCATGTTAAAAATATATTATTTGTTCTGGTAAAAAGGAAAATCACAGATACAATCATTTTACTTCTCTTTTTTTAGATCAGCCCTTACTCTGCCTATCTGCACGATGCAGTGCTTCTTTATGCGATGGGACTGAAGGAAGTCCTCAAAGATGGAAAAGACCCTAATGATGGACGGCAGCTGATACGGAGATTAAAAAATAAAAATGACATTCGGTTTTATGGTTGGTAGCTGCTGCTAATGGTTATTATAGTAGGGGTCTGTACAGTGCCAAGTCTGCAATTTGTAATTATTGTGTATTTGTGAGGCTTTTTAAGAGGAAATTACAGAACATCTGATCAGAAGCAGCTAAAGGTTTGGTACTCATTTTGCACTCATACTCAAAATAAGTTACCTGAAAGCTATTTTTTAAATTAAGAACTTGTGCAAACAGCTAAAAATGCATTCAATCGTCAATTTATAGTGGTATCTAGTCATGCAAATACTGTAGCTTTGTTTTTATTTCCCCAGGTTTTGAGGTTTCTGAGATTTTCGCATCCACCCCAATAATCTTGAGGTGGACTGAATTCTGTTTGCAGCTCTCATCACTGAAAATATATATTTAAGAATTTTAACAGCAACATCTGTTTAGTTATTTAGTACTAGTGCATATTTTGCTCATTATACTAACAGAAAACATAAGTCAGTTGGCATTATGTTTTAAAAAAACCTGGCACATCATCTTCAGAGACAGTTTTAAGTAGTAGTAATATAGTATTAGTATTAAGTAGTAGTAGTATTAGTAATAGTTTTCTGTATCACTGCAGGTGCGTCTGGACTTGTCCACTTTGACAAAGAGGGGGAGAGAAACCTGGACTATTCTATTTATGACCTGCAGCATACAGGAGATGTCACCAAGTTTGTACCCATCCTCAATTTTGACAGTCACACCAAAGCTGTCCGGTAATAAAGCTCTTTTATACAGTAAAAAAATAAATGCATTTTTTGATAAACAGATTTTGGGAAATCACTTCTTTTTTTTTTTTTCAGGCCAACATCTTCGTTTGCTTCTGTGGTCTGGCCGAAAGGAAGACCCCCTTCTGATAAACCAGAATGTGGTTTCAACAATGAACAATGTGAATGGCTGGTTAATGGTAAAGGAACAGTTGAAAAAAGTGACTTGCAAAATAGCCCTTTTGCAACCAGTAAATACACCAATTGTTTCAGTTTTTATTTTAGACCACTTATAAAACATGATTTTATAAACCTGACGCTCAGGCTAAGCTAACCACCTTCATCATTTCTTGTCTTGATGGGACACAGAAATCGCCCTGCTGGCTCTACTTGTGACCTTCCCTGTCATCGGTGTGCTAGCAGTTTTGTGCATCGGTGTCCTCATTCTGCAGAAGTTTCGACTCCAGACGCGACTTGGCGACTCCTGCTGGTGGCTGATCACCTACAGCGATATCACCATCATCAGGGAGTCCTCAGTATGAGCACTAACACACGCGCTGTTGAGTGTCTGTATATGTACAGTATGTGTGTGTGTTTGCTTGCCTGGTTTTGTGTTCACAGTTTTATTCGGTGTGCTTGTGTCTCCTCCAGGGAACTCAGGGTTTATCTCTAACCACCACAGCTAGTCAGAGTGGGAGCGGCGGCTCTCAGTCCAATTTCTCTAACAACAGCTATGGCCTGAAAGACAAGGCAGGAAGAGAACACATCTATACCACGATAGGTCTCTACCAGGTACCAGTTTTCTTCAGAGATTAAAGTGAGCTTGTATAACTTTCCTAGTGGCCACAAGTGGCAATTACAGATTAATAGTAAAAGTAGAGTCTTAAAGGCCTTTTCCCTTATAGGAACTTAATAACCTATAACTTTGGGGGCAAGGTCCTGGAGATAAATTGTACAGGAGAGGGTACTAAATCTAAGTTCAGGTCCTCTGCTTTGTCTGTATCAACTGCTTATTGTTTGTTGAGTGTTGGGGAATTTGTTCAAAATTCCCAGCAGTGTAACCAACGTCTCTCAACGTTTTTCTTGAAAAAACAAAACTCTGAAATGATTTTCTAGTCCTGTTTTTTTCACCATCACTTTCAAAGCTCAAAATTGAGCAGCGGGAGGTTTTTTGATGCAATGATACTGATGTGTAAGAGTCACCCTTTACGCACTTGCACACCAAAGGAGTGCGGTAAAACTACGATGTCGGTGCTGCCGTAAATCAAAGTGCAAAAATAAGGTAGAACCTAGAACCAAGACCTAACAGGAGATTCTGGAGGTTCAGGTTATGTGTCGTTACGTTCCTATAGTGGAAAAGGTCTAATAAAGTCAGCAAACTGACCTGACTGTATTGAACTGAGCAAGTATGTGTTTTATTGCTCATTTAATTTACTTTTTATTTGTTTCTATGTGCCAGAATATGTGGTTTTCTGTAATGTTTTTTTTTTATTCCATACAGGGAAATCAAGTGGCCATCAAGTACATCAAGAATGTTAGCAGTAATTACCAGAAACCTTCAATTATTGCAGAGTTCAATATGGTAAAGTTCCTCATGTTGTTCCTCAAATTTCTTTTGGTTATCTGCGTTTTGAATATATTATAATAATAATAATGGAAGTAATAAAAAACCTGCTACAGTATATCTAACTAAAACAAAGTCATATTTAATGTTAACATGACTTCATATAGGAAAAATCTTTAGTTTAAAATAATGGTGCAAATCTTCTTTCTACCCTTGTAACAAAGATATTATTATTTAAGACATATTTGTTAATAATTTATTTTTGAACTGATTTTATTGTGTGCCTAACCATCTTAAACTCTCTTAAGACAGATGAAAGAGATGAAACATGAGAACTTGGTGCAGTTCTTTGGTGTTTGCATCGAGCCACCGAATGTCTGTTTGGTCATCCAGTACTGCAGGAAAGGCAGTCTGAAGGTCAGTGTCTCAGCCTGTACTGCACATACACACACTTTTACTTCATACTGTAAAGCATCACTGTAAAACTGCAATTTAATGCGTGTTTGCACTGTAGATGTATATTGTTACTTTACCCCATTACACCCAATTTGGGCCAATAGAGCACCGAGGTAATACAAGGTTAACTTCACCCAAGGGATAGAAAACCACCTAAAACAAGGGATTGAGTTATTGGTATATTACTGTTGGGTTATTTAGTTTGAACCACTTCTAATATACTCCAACTCTTTTTTAAACTTGCATGTCACTATTTGTTACCCTTATTGTTGATGCGTATTATATCCTTACAGGTAAAACACTGGGTCAAAAAAAACAACAGTAACATAGAAAATAACAAAAATCTGGGTCAAAACAACCCATTAGTACCCAATTAAGTTAAGTTAACCCAGTGTCGCATCAGTGCCGTATTGACCCAAACTGGGTCAAAAAATAAGATATTGAACTTCAAAAAGTTCACTCTTTGCTCTCTTTCATCCCTCCTGCAGGATCTTTTGAAGGCGACAGATGTCGAGCTGGACGGGATGTTTAAGCTCTCCTTTGCTTATGACATTGTCAATGTGAGTCAGTTCATTTATGCAGCATGTTCTAGTTATGTGTGATTTACTGGAGGGAAAGTTCCCAAGGCCATTGCCAGGAATGTTTTGAAATAATGAGTAAATACTCATAAATAAAAAATACAAAGCTGTCTCCACTCTGCCAGGAATACATTTTTAGTTAATTTTTTGTTGGTAAAAATGTAGTCATATTTTAATATCTTCAAATTAGTCGAATCAATAGATATAAACTCCTCCAATGTTGCTAAAAACAAAACTCAGAGACTTCTCTGGTAGCTGCAATGTAGCCCTGAATGTACCTTCAATTTGGAGAATAAAGCTTTATGCTGACTCTGTGTACTCAACAAGTAGGTCCACAAAAATTGAAATTTGGTTTTTAAGACCTAAAACAGACACAACTTATATTATAGTTGAGGTTGGGTTTTTTTTTTTTACTTGGAAATGGCCAATTCATGATTTCAACCTGTTAACTTGTGTTTTAGGGAATGGAGTTCATTCACAAAAGTAACCTGAGATTTCATGGGAACCTGAAGCCCAGCACATGTCTGGTGGATAGTCGACTCCAGATCAAACTCTCTGGCTTTGGACTGTGGGAGTTTAAATATGGGAGCAAAAACAAGATCATCCCACTGGACAACCCAAATTATGAGGGTGAGTGGGTTTAACAATGTCATATTAAACACTGCATATTTGCATATAATGATTAAAGTGATTTAAACCGTTCCTTCATGTTGTAGAGATGTACTGGACAGCCCCCGAGCTTCTGAGACAAGTCGGCCTCCCGGTGAATGGAACGCCCAAAGCTGACATCTACAGCTTTGCCATCATAATGTGGGAACTCATGTACAACTCTAAGGCTTTCCCATATCAAGACATCAACCTGGAGCCCAAAGGTTAGCACGATACACAGAAAGCAATCATTTTTTTTTGCCACTAATTCATTTACCAGCCGGTTGGAAATACTTCTGGTAGTCTCCATTTTACCTCACTGACATATTTTAAAACTTTTCGAAGCAAATACAGGGCACACAAGACAAAACAAAGCTAAACTAAATAAAAAAATATCAGGACATTCTCACCTCTAATGCCCCATGTACCAAGACTGAGTCCTTGCTGCTGTGGCCCAGGGTTTAAATCTGACCTGTGGCCCTTTGCTGCGTGTCATCCCCTCTCTCTCTTCCCCCTTTCCTGTCACTCTTCAGCTGTCACTATCGATTAAAAGCAATAAAAGCCCCAAAAATATATATATAAAGAATATCAAGATATGATAACAAGACTAGAGGCCTTTACGCACCAGGATATGTCGCATCAAAACGGTTCATACAGGCAGCAATGTGAATTTGTGACAAATTAAAATAAAAAATTCAATCTACACACATATTGCCACGAACCAAGCAGGACACAGCGGTTTGAAGGAGTCACACTGCAGCACTGAGTTACCGGGGATCCAGTCCATTAAGATGTATTAAGCAACTCCAAATGAGTTTTTGTTGGCTTTGAAGAGAGTGTAGATAGATTACTCTGTCGGTAAATCCCAACAGTCTGTGTAGAGGGAGCCACCGCCATCCCAACCAATCCATCCAGGGATTGCAGAGACATTTCAATTTGGACAAAAGTGGCTAGCTCACATGGCTTAATGATCCCAAACCAAAATCCCCAAATTCCAACACTACGATAATTCCTGCTTCCTGCTATATTTTCTCCAGAGATTATCATGCAATTGCGGACACCTTTCCAAGGGGAACCCCTCCGACCAGTGCTGTGTGAGCAGCTGTGTGATGAGAACATCAACTCACTGCTGAGGGCCTGCTGGAGTGAAAACCCTGACCACCGACCGCCGTTTGGGTCTATAAGGAGGCAACTGAGGGACATCAGCCCAGAAAGGTGAGGCCTCTGACATTTCTTGCCCATAATATGCTCCAAAATACTGTGAGAAAATAAATTGTTCTCCCTGTCTCTCATTTAGGCCTGCAGATGCAGTATGTAATACGGTTACAAACCTGAATTTTAGAATGCAAATGAGAATAGCTAGAGATCGCATACCTTTGCCAGGGCAGTAAAATCTAAATTTGTTATCTGCCTCAAAATAGTATATAGTGACTGGATATGTGTGATGATAGCAAAAATGTTGCCTAAATGTTAAAAATATTTCTTTCTAAATCCTGGATCTGCACCAAAGGTGAACCAGAAATTAATGACTGAACATTTTGAGATTTTGAGGACTAACTACCTACCAAACTGGATTGAAGAAATAAACTCCTTAACTGGGGTGATCATGATTTTCTGTACTGTAGTCATGCAAATATACTGGATAATATGGTGGAAAAGTTGGAGAAATATGCAAATCACTTGGAGGAGGTGGTGGAGGAGAGGACCAATCAGCTCACAGCAGAGAAGACCCGTGCAGACAAGCTTCTCTCCAGCATGTTACCAAGGTACTGGATGTAACAGCATCAACAATGATCAATAATATTCTTATTTATGCTGTGTCAATCATAAAATAGAACTAAAAAAATTTAATTAGCAATTTTTGGTAACCCATTCAAATTGTATGACCACAGTTCCACCAGTTGAATGGGCCTCCATGACTACTCCTGCTTACCTTGTAAGTATGTCATTGGTGGTCGTAGGTACATCGCAGATCAGCTGATGGCGGGGAAATCAGTGGAGCCACAAAGCTACGACACAGTGACCATCTTCTTCTCTGACATTGTGGGCTTCACCTCCATGTGCTCCGTCAGCTCTGCGTTGGAGGTGGTAACGTTCCTCAACGACCTCTACAGCCTCTTTGACGACATCATCAAGATGTACGATGTCTACAAAGTAAGGATTGGTTAAATTTGTGTTAACTTTTGTGATCGCAACATCATAACCTTCTGAAGAGACCAAATATGAGTGAATTTTATTGCGGATAATCACTTATGATTAAGTCAGTATAGTGACTGTATTGTTTTGTTTTATTTGTCATTCAATGAAACTTTTTTTTCTTTCCATCTTAACTAGGTGGAAACAATCGGTGATGCATACATGGTAGCCAGTGGTCTACCGATCAGCAATGGCATTAAGCACGCTTTGGAAATATCTACAATGGCTCTGCATTTCCTGAGTGCAATCAAGGTCTTCAGAATCCGCCATATGCCTACTGAGAGTCTTGCAATTCGCATTGGGATACACTCTGGTAAGAGGCAGTACTGATGGAGACAGCAAAAGCTGAACTAAACCAATTCAGTGTCCAATCAATGTAGAAGTATTTGGTTTTGTCGCTGCCATTTTTCCATATGTACAATCATCTTGCTATGGGTTTTGTAGGTCCAGTGGTTGCTGGAGTGGTTGGCACCACTATGCCTCGCTACTGTCTGTTTGGTGACACGGTGAACATGGCCTCTCGCATGGAAAGTAACAGCTTACGTGAGTGAACTGCAGAAGCACCTTTGGAGAAGCTATTCATTGAGACCATCAGTATTGCAATTTAATTTTTTCAAGCTTCTGTATTTGACTATAGATAAATGTTTGTGCAAGTGTATGTGTAGTATTTGCACAAAATTAAAATTGTCTATGTAGGAAATACCATTAGTTTTGCAATGTATTGTAAAAAAAATAATGGTACCAAGAAGATTAATTCATGACTGACTTTTTGTCTAGAGCCACCATGAGGTTGACATTTTTGTTTTTTAGTGAAATGTCATGACAATAATTGGTTCAATTAGTTGAGCTGGTAGGCAGAGGAGAAGCATTAGCTTCATTTAATTTGTTGCAGAAAGTGAGGGACATCTTATGAAAACTTTTTTTTTTAAGTAGCCTAATTGTTGGAACTGTAATGGTATTAAGTACACATATCGATACCATGTATTGGCAAGTACCCAAATGTGTACTTGTATATTAGTGCAAAATAAACTCTTAAAAGTGTAACTTTAAGATGTTTGGCACTCTCTTCTGTGTATTTAACTCAGCCCTGAAGATTCACATATCTCAGTGCACTGCTGACATTCTTGTCCAGGCGGGATCATTTGATCTGGAGGAAAGAGGTGAAATCGAAATGAAGGTGACTTGAGTCTGCATTGTTGTTGTTTTTAATCAGATGAAAAGAAAATGGTAAATGGACTGCATTTATATAGTGCTCTATATAGTCTACAGACTGCTTAAAGCGCTTTAAAACGTGTGTAAATGATGTACAACCTATGTTTTTGACCAGTGTGTGTTTTATGTCCATGGCAGGGTAAAGGCTCTCATAAGACCTACTGGCTGCTGAACAAACAGGGATTTAATCCTCCTCTTATTGCTCACAGCTCTCCACCAGCTGACAGCCGCAAACAACCAACGGAGGTACAGTTAACGCACAGCACGGTCACATTTCTGATAAAGACAGCCAGCAGAGACAAGTCAAGCACTCCACATCCGAGCAGTCAATATATGTAGTATTCTATGTAATGCAGTGTTGTACTTTGACCTTATTTTGATATCTCTCTGCTCAAGAAACTAGGGATGGCCCGAGCTGCTGAGAAAAAGGCCCATAAAACCATGACCAGAGCTCACATGACAGACGCAACGATGCCTATGGTGCAAATTTAAAGAACAAGTGGATGTTATGACCATATTTTGGTAAATCAAAAGGAATGACAATTATGAAGGTCTCACAGGATGCCGAACAAGTTTGTTTCCTCCACTTGTGAAGAGGAGCACTGGAGACAAAATGTGGACAAAGACTGGAGTGAAAAGACTGATTTCATGAGGAGAAAATACATCTCAAAACCTGGATTACAACACTTGTGTTTTCAGACTCTTGCTAAAGTAAGCTCAAGATTATTTTTTTTCTAATTCTTTGTGATTTTTAACATTTTAAAGTATTTTTTATTTATTCTTGCAGCTACAATGTTGTTACAATTTTGTAATAATATCAATCAATCATCTGTTGGTTGAAAAAACATGATGTCCTGGGAGGACCAACACTTAATGAATGAATGTTTTTTTTTTTTGATAGATTGATATAAGAATGAGAGTAACGTGTACATTTTCAAACAATATAAAAACTTTCACAATCAAACATTTACTATATAGTACTGGAGACGTCAGAGTAAATACTTCTTAAACAAACCATCTTTGGACAGTGAGTTAGCAAACATACATGCATCAAAATTAAACAAGCATTCTAGTAATATGTCTTTCTCTACAATTGTTTTTCTGCAATAATCCAATATAAGGGTTGTCAAAAACTCAAAACCACAGAGAAACAGAGGATGTGAGTATGTGGGCAGTGTTTAGCTACCAGACAGATTTTGTGAGCAGATACAGATTTATAGAAAGGAGCTCCCCACCTACCTCATGGTGTCAGATCAGGAGGAGGTATTCTGTTAAAAGTCCTGCATTCAAATTTTGACTTAAGTATTATCAACACATACTAAGTACTACGTACCAAAAGTAAAAGTACTCACATGTCAGAGTAATATTTATTATTGGATTATAATTATTGATGTATTAATGTGTTCTGCCCTTTAATGTTGCAGCTGGTAAAAAGTAGAGCTAATATTATTATTATCAAAATGTATTTATTATATTTTTGACTATTAATCTGAATCTGTAAAGTAACTTAAGCTATTAAATAAATGTAGTGGAGTTAAAAGTACAATATCTGCCTCTGAAATGTAGTGGAGTAGAAGTATAAAGTAGGAGAAAGGGGAATTACACGTGTAAAGTACAAATATCTAAAAAAAATTCTTAAGTACAGTACTTGTGTAAATGTACTTAGTTACTTTCCGACACTGGGGGTTAGCTAGTGGGCAAATCACATTTGATTGGATAAATGTATGTAATTCAAGATTAGTCATCAGGAAAGGAATAGAGAAGGATTTTGATATAAAAATACTCAAAATTATATTTTTAAACATATATTTAGCATGTAACAGGAGACAATTAACAATTAACACATGGACACACAAACAGAACAATCAAATAATGTGTACTTTGTTCTAATTTGTGTTTTTATTGCACTTTGTGTAGAAGTCAGTGAGCCTCATTCACTTATATGAGGCTAATATTTCGAAACAAGAATAATTAACTTTATAAAAACTGGTCAGTCAGTGGCGGGGCGACACGCAGCGAAGGGTCACAGGTTGGATTCGAACTGTGGTCGCTGCAGCAAGGACTCAGCCTTGGCACATGGCAATGGCACTGACCATGTGTTTCTGTTTAGTGCTGCAACAAACAAACTACAAATGATGCTTCTAATCCCAATATTGCTCCGTGTTGCTTTCATGGTGAGAGTCTGATTTTAATTTCTGTATTGAATAAAACTGTTTATTTATTTACTAACTATGTGAGCATTCCTGGAGGATCTTTAAAGGTTTGTGAATAATTTAAAACAAGAGGGACACGGTTAATATTTTCTATTTTTTATTTTCAATTGATCTTTATTGGAGAAAGCAGTGAAGTAACACATGTGACATTTTAAAAGATTATCCATTAACAGATGGATATGAAAATCTCAATAAATGTGCTAATTACAAATAATATGTGTGAGAAAATGAGAAAATCATTCATTTGAGCGTGGAGGAGGAATGTATTCATACGCTCCCTGAGTCCTGGGTGACACTCCCCTCTGTTTGTTTGTGTTTATGTAAATGAGACTGAATGAAAATGTTTTTACTACATTCTTGATCCATTTACTAAATCCCAACACATGTTTATCAGGACCACCAGCAGGATGAATAGTGAGGTGCCTGTGGAGCAAAAGGCAAAGAAAATATAGCGGCTCAAATGTTAATAAAACAACTTTCAACAAGATTAACTGAGCCAGAACACGGAGAGACTGACGTCATGATCTCTCATTTTATTCTGGGAATTTGAGGGGTTTTCCAACACGATTAATAATATATGCGTTGGACTCATGACCTCAGCATTTCTAAAATTCTGGCTACAGCTCTGAATATTTAGAGACAAACACATTTCAATTACAGTTATCACTGCATTACATTTGTTTACCTTTCATGTGTCCATTATTGGAGGAGCCATTGCCTGTCGAGAGATAAATATAATAAGACATAATACAAAATAAAAGCTTATAAAGTACAAAAAAAAACCTGATTTGCCTTGAATTCAACAGTCAGATATTAGGAGTCTCTTAATTTGAAAGAGGAAAAAGTAACAATGTTGCTGTTTGGTATTTATGTATTTAAAGTCCCCTTGCACTTTGAACAGTTTTTTAGCTTTACATGAACGTTTGATCCCTGAAGGATGCTTTCACATTCATCTGCTGAAGCAGGAAAGTTTCTCTGTAATCACCTTGAACCTGAATTGAAGAGCAGGATATCTGATCCCACAGTTAGTTTTTAGGCCAATGGTTGTCCAATATGCAACTTAAAGTGATGTGGAAAACTTCCAGTTCACTTTTCAATAAAGTAGGAAACATTTTTTGTGTATTCATAGATTCTGGATTTTTTCATTTTAAGAAGTTCACACCTCAGAATGTATATACAACATGGTGTTCTGTACCTTTAATGTGAAACTCAGCAGTAAGGATCCCCCCACTTGGTTCTGCCTCTGATGACAGACTTCTTAAAGAGCAGGGGCCCTTGAGGAAAGATAGAAACATGGGTCTCCATATTATCTCCTCTCTCCCACACTTATAACCATTCTGGCTGACATATATGTACATATATGTAATACAGGAGCAGTTAGTCACAAGCTTGAATACAACTTGATTTGTATAACAAATGACTTCTGAAAGAGTAAAAAAATAGAAATTAACCAGTCAACCAGAAACTACTGCTTTTGTCCACAGGGGGCGCCAGAATCAACACAAACAGTTCCTTAAAGGGTCTTTAAGTATAAGTATTATTAGCTAAATATACTTAAATTATCAAAAGTAAGAGGAGTCAGTCTACAATACACAGTGCTATTAGATTTTCAATATTGATGCATTTGCTTTAGCAGGATTTTAATGCTGAAGCTGCTCAAGGTGGAGCTGGCTAGTTTAGTCCAGTGGTACCAAACCTCAGGGTCGGGGCCAGTGGAGAGAAAGAAACAGTAAACAGAAGTAGAAGAAGTTGATATCATATATAAGTGTTGTACTCACTGGATGACATATGAGCCTGTCTCCATCGCAAACCTGGACCTCACAGTGAAGCCACACTGTGGACACCTTCTCCAGCCGTTGAAAGCGGAAAGAGTTGAACTTGAACATGGAGCGGCTGTCTTTGGCATTCTCAAAAATAGTCACAGTGCCGTCAGAAGAGCAGCTGTTGGAAACAACAACAGTTTTACCTTCAGTACTGTAGAAACTAATGGAGAGTTCATTCAATCATAAACTGGCATAGAGAAGTCTACCCTCACATTCAACTGCACTGCAAAACATCACACAGGAATTAAGTGGACTCAACTAATCTTTTATCGCCTTAAAGTTTTAGAACTTTGAAAAAAAGGTTGTTCTCACTTCTGATCAGCAGAGCTCCCAGCATGCATTATTTGAGGGTTAAAACCAAAGGTGGCAAAGAGTACACACATTCTTTACTCAAGAAGTACTGATTCAACATTTTTATTCAAGTAAAAGTCAAAAAGTACAGGCTGTGAAATGTACTTAAAGTACAAAAGTACTCTCATGGTTTCTCTGAAGGACATTTCTACCAGCTGTTTCTTTGAAAAGCTAACAAATAGGGTTTGAGTCTTCCTCTATTGTCTGCTTCGTCTTGTCACATCTTTTAAGTTGTTTTTGTTGATTTCATCATGTTACAAATGTCTGATGTTGTGACTAAACTGTTGTTGATTAAGCTTAATAGGTTAAGCTACTTGAATTGCTTTTTTTGAGTTCAGTGAACTTACCTTTGTTGACTTTGAACAAATTGTTTAAGTTTAGTTCAGTAAACTCATTTTTAATGGAGCAAGGGTACTAGTTAGGTTAATATATTTTACTCTACCTGTTAATGATGAGACTCCACCTCTTTTTGTCTGTTGAGTAAGGAGTAGGAGTAGCCCAGCAGTTGTTTATTACCACTTTGAATCTGAGAGGTGGTACAGCAAATCATAATAAAAAATGGGTCTAGTCTGTAATGAAATATATGTCAGGAAAATGTTGAAATCTGTTGACATACCTGTTACTTAGTCCTTTTGCCTCGATGCCAATGAAGACTTCAGAGCCGATCTCAGAAGTGTCAATCACGTAGGGAGCGTCCTTGGCATACAGGAACTTTGAATTCTATAAAATATATTATTATTTATGTACTGACTGTGCAAGACAATCTCAATTTGCATCTAACAAGTTGTGCTAGTACACCAAAAATAAATTCTACTTTTATTTTTCCATACAGCTGCACAGGATTTATTAAATAACACATCAAACATGCTGCAAAAGGCTTCCACTGGAGAAACTGAATCTGTGAGCGGCCACTCACCGTGAACACATTCATAGACAACTGTGATCTAAAAGTGCCTAAACTCCCGTTGTTGACATAAACTGTAGCCACTCTGGAAAAAGCAGAGGGTTTAGTAAAAACACTGCAAGTCATTGGGTTAGAATGCACAGATTTTTCACACAGTAACTGCGGTCGCCTCGCGTCCTGGATCGATGCTTACCTTTGGCTGAAGACTGCGTTGTTTACCAGGTAAGCTGCTCTGTACATGCAGCTGAAGGTGTAGTTGACCGGCTGGTTTCTGACTGTGAGCGAAGTATCGTTGGACACAATGGAGTTATAGAAGATGTACTTGGGGTCTTTGCCGGGCATGTACTGTGGAGACAATGGAGATCAGGAGGAATATGAATAAAATAGGCTTTTCTTTGTGTTCCTGTAGTGTGATGTTTGAGCAGAATATGACACTAAAAGGATGTTTTCACATTCATCTGCTGAAAGTGAAAAGTTGCTCATTGAAAATCTTAGTTAAATTTTAAGGGGTGGGGCAAACAAGCATGATTTGTGACATAAATCTTTGGAATTTCTTTTGTTTTTCTTCTTTTTTTGCTGACACATTGTCTTGGTTTACTTTTTATGAAAATGCTCATCTTTAATGATATGTGCAATATAAAACAAACTTGTTTCTGGAAAGAGATGTTGTCTCACCTCAGACTGCGTGCCGCAGTACGAGTGGTTTTTGGGTGTTAGGTCTGAGATGATGAAGCGGTAGTAGCCCGGGCTGTGTATGCCAGAGTAACAGACTCCCCCCAGGGACAACTGGTCAATCTCCCAGCCGTAAGGACACTCTGGGACGTTGGCAATGATGGCATTGGGGAAACATGACACCATCACGTAGTCTGAAATTAGACACAATCAGAGAGACAAACTTTAAAAATGATTTAGTGTTTTCAACCCATACACATTGAAATTGTTCCTGAAACTCACTAAACTCTACATCTACTGCAAGTCATTCCTTTTCCAAATCAAGGATAGAAGGCGTGGTACATTGTACAGAAAGTCCTCTGGGACAAACTTGGTGGTATAAATCAAATAGTATGATAAGAATAACATCTTGCATTCGTTAAACTTCCATTGAACCTGACTGATCAGCAGGGCCAGTGTTTTGTGAAGCACCAACTAATCTCTGTACCACAGTGATGTTACCTGCTTTTTGGGGAGAGCATGTCCACGCAACAGGCAGAAACATTAATAATGCACCGACAGAAGCCATATTGCGATGCTGCAGAGAGATTTAAAAATTCCACCTTAGCAATGACAGAATATTTAAGGATAACATATAATGATGTATATCTGTCCTAAAAGACTCACCGTGTAGGGAAAAACACCTTTGAATAGTCTGATTGATGTCAGAGGATCCTCATGGCTCTTCAACAGGTTACCAGCAGCAGTGACTCTACAACTAACATCTTCACAACTTGAGGATGTATTTTATACTGTCACAGGTGAGGGTAATCAACTTTCCCCCATTCTCCCGTCTCCACTTTTCCCCCTGGCAGGATTGGTTTAAGAGCTCTATTGTGGGGCTGCTCACAAAAGCTCTCTGTGCTACTCGGACATTGTCTTTCAAATGACTAGAGTCTCATGGGATTAGCGCTCAAGAGTGCTTAAGTCACCTTTTCTAGAGATGGACACACAGGAAATTTGTCATTTTGATACAGTGAATACAGAACAATTATGACTTGTAGGAGGGAAATTGATGTATTTCATATAAAATCAGCATCATTATCATTGTGGCAGAGGAAGCCGAGACAGAGGTTTACACAACTTAAAGCTCAAGATCGAGCTCACAGACTCACATTGTGTAACATGACTAACTTTGCCAAAAAAAGCAAGGAAGACTGACTGTTTGGATACATTTGTTGCCCTTTGTTTCCCCAGTTACAGTTCGTCATAGTATAATTACCAAATGTCTCCCATTTTTCAACATGTTATGTAATTGTTTAATCTCTGACCAGGGTCAAAATACTGTGGGAACTGGAATGGTCATCACTCTCATATCTGTATGTTGAATATAAAGCAGGTTTTTTTGGGTGTCAGGTGTTGCCTATTAAAGGAATAGAACATTTTGGGAACTATACTGATTTGCTTTGCAGAGAATTAGATAAGAAGATCACTCTCATGTTTGTATGTTAAATATGAAGCTACAGCCAGCAGCTGGTTAGCTTAGCTTAGCAAACAACTGGAAACAGGCGGAAACAGTCAGCCTGGCTCGTCCAAAGCTAACAAAGACCGCCTGCCAGCTCAATAAATAATGTGTTATATCTTGTTTATTTAATCTGTACAATAACTGAAGTGTAAAAAAGTGGCAGAACTAAGTTCCTTATTCAGTGCACAACCTCACATTTAAATTGTAACAAATGGGATAATAATGTGTTAATTAATAAGCTTCATAGGTGATTGTAGGCAGATTTTTTTAACCTTTGGACAGAGCTAGGCTAGCTGTTTCCCCTCGTTTCCAGTCTTTATGCTAAGCTAGGCTAACAGGCTGCTGGCCTTGTGTTTAATAAACAGACATGAAAGTGATACCAATCTTCTCATCTCACTCTGTACAAGAAAGAAAATAATCTAATTTCCCCAAAACTATTCCTTACAATATCTCTTTTACACAAAACGTCTACGAGTGCAACAATCTGGAAATGTCACAGATATATTTTAAGGACATTAACTGTGGCGGAAACACAGTTCCTTCTCTCTGTCCTATTGGGACAAAAGAGGACAAAATGTTCAGGAACAGAATACCATTTAAGAAGCTAAATAGTGCAAACAGACATGTATAGATACCTTCAAAATGTGATGGTAGCTCAGATAAGAGTTGGCATACACTAGTAACTAGTGTTCTTAAGTGGAGATGATAGGCCTGTGTTTTGCAGCATTCAGTAATATAAGGTTTCTCACAGTCTTGTGCTATTAGATATCGCTTTTGTCTCGTCAACCTTTCGTTTGTGTGTGAAACGTGTGTGTTCTCATTGGCCTGTTTACATCATTTTTATTAGTTTATCTACTGCTGCCTAAATCCTAAGTAGCTTTAGTTTTGATGTAGCTAATGTTCTCATTTGTGTCTCTACAGCCAACAGACTAAATCCTAATCCTAAATCAAATTTCTCCAGAATTTAAAATGAAAGGCACACCATTATATCAATGTCAGCAAAGCTAGATATGCAGCCAATACACCAATGAAGTATAGATCTTTCGTTTTTTTAACCTGGAGATCCATTCACATATTCAAAAACCTCCTTGAAAAGACTTAATGATGAGAGCTGTAAAACGATAGCAAAGAGGTTAGACACTAATGTCCTTCACAGAACAATTCAAGTCACCCAGCAATTGAAGGGGCAAACTGCAGACGATTAGCATCTGAATGGAGCGACAGGGGAATTTGTAAGGGGTAGTCCGAGGAAGATACCAATCTAAGAATGGGTCAGGGGACAGCTAGCGTTACAGCATTTGGTGATGCTAACAATTGGGAGCCGCGAGATCCCACAATGTTATGTAACCGTGGCCTGCGACCCAAGAAACGTGCTCAGAGGAGACAGAGCCTGTGTGAACGTGTCTGTATAGTCCACTCGGAGCTTTAAAGTGATACTGCACACAAAATCTCTTTTCAGTATTAAACGTTTACTCCAACTAAACTCGAAAGGTGTCTGTAAAAGGTTTGTCGTTACTCCCTCATGCAAAACATAAAGGCCTGTTGCGGTCAAAGTCGGCAACCAGTGGATTCTGATGGTGTTTCACGGCACAGAAAACTAATTAATTAACATAATCAAGACTGATTTTTGAGATTATAACTTACTTTTTCTTTAAATCATGACTTTAGAAGCCCTTTATTGAGCATCTGGATAAATTATTATTTTATTATTATTATATTATCTTTAAAATAGTGTTTGAGGAATGTACGTTTTCCTTCTTACCTAATGTTACTGCGTGGTCAGTGTGAGCAATGTTGGAATGGGAGTGGGAGGGGTTAATGGGAGTGGGATTGGGTAGGAGTTGATGGAAGCAAAGGTGGATTTGTGTTCTTTTTCTGGTTCATATGTTTCGTCTGTCAAATCAGAGACTATTCCAGTCTATCATTCTAGATATGTCACTGTTCACAGACCACAGTACTGGTGTAAAATCAATAACAGGATTCGCTCAAATTCTCTGTTGACAAACTTAACCTTTTCTTATTTTTAACATGAAGTATAATTTAAAGGATGTTTTTGCATGAATGGAAGTTTAGTCATCACAGTAACGGTTTAAAGTCATACTCGATCTGTATACTCAAGGACAAAGTTCTGTTTTAACCAAATGCTTTACATTTGAGTTTATAGTGTGTATAGTCATTGCAAACTTATGCAACATCCCCTGTATGTCCACCACAAGGGAGCAGCAAAACCTTTTCCTCTATACACTATCTTTCTTATGTGTATATATTATTGATTAGGAATGATCTTGGCACAATTGTTGCTTTTGGAAAACATTGTTTTTATTTTTTAAATTGAAGGGGAATAGACATTTATAGATATAATTAAACATCACAAAATGCATTGAGGAGGATACTGTATGAGACATAATAGCATTGTTGAGCCCACCTACATAAAGTAGTGCTTTTGTCAAATTTTACAAAGTGATCCTTGTGGTAAGACTCTAATAAGAACATATAATACAACATATTTGAAAATACATATGTTTTTTTATATACAACATATTTACATAATAAATAGCTTTAATTTTGAGGCCAACATCAACGTTTGGGTACTTGGCAGGTCCAACTTGTTCGTTCTGGTTGGTAAATAAAATCTCCCCTGAAAGACAAACAAACTGAGATTAGGCCTCAAAAATCATCCCCCGTTTATTAGCTAAACTAACACACGTCAAACATTTTAAAGCATTTTTTAAAAACATGTTGATCCTACTGAAGGAGTTATTACAAGTTGTGCTTTTTTCATGTCGGATGAAAGGAAATGGTCTGGTTGCATAGACTGTACGTCTATAATATACTGCAAATATATGCAATTAAAATGGTGACATATGATAAGAGCTATTTGTCAATAACCTTGATGGCAGGTATTACACCTTTCATTACACCAGGACTAGTTGCATGGCTAGATTAATTTGTTAGGGAGCCAACTTTGTTGTTGGGCCCCTAGTGACAACCCTACAACAACCTCACACACCAGGTTTTTTGTGTGTCAGTTAGTTTGGTTTGATTAGACAGAGCCATGCCCATTGGCCTCTGAGTACCCCTCTTCCCTGTTCGCATAAACTTGTATATTAAAAAAAAAACATTGTTTACTGTTTTAAACAAACAGGAAATGATCCAATCCATGTGCCAATGCATGTCAAATAAAACTGCGACTTTGGAATGGCACTGCCAATTAAACTTTCACAAATGGACATCAAATATGTTTTTCCAAGGATTTAATTGCTATTCTTTGGCTTTCTGAGCTGTCCCTGGAGCTGTTTTACCGACATCCATAATTTGTTTTAATTTTTTACAGCTGTGAGTAGCTCCTCCATTTCCTATGCACACTGCATTGTGGGACAATAGTGAACATAAAGAGAAAAATCACATTTTGTTGACATGGTGACTGTTTTAACTTTGCCAGTATGAACACATTACAAACTCAAAACCTGCTTAGATTTCTTACGTAGTAATTGCAGTATAAGCCTTATGACGACATTTTGACACAGTGAGAAGAGATAAGAGAGGGTTCCAACTATGCAGGACCTAGATTACTTGATATTGTACGTAAGTGGTGCAAATTCCTGGTGCAACCATTTGATAAATCTTGGATCTGGGCACTTTTGGTTGGTAATCCCGCTTTGCCTTGTGTTATTGAGTACATCATTTTGGATAAAAACTTTGTTTGCTGTACTCACTCTCTTTGGTGTGATGCACTGTTTTCACGACACCGTAGCCCCTCATCACACGGACAAATCTGGTTTATGCTGAATGCCAGGCCACCATCAGGAACATAACAACTCTCGCCTCGGATCAGACGTCTCTTGCACACCTGTTCACCGTGGTGTCGAGCGCAACACATGGATGCTCCGCAGTCCCTGTCAACTTTACATCTGGCACCTGGATGAAGAAAACACGGGTTATTTCAGGGATCTCCAAAAATAAAAAGATAAACTCTTTTATGTTTTGAATAAACTGCTTTTTAATGTATTTGCTTTCTTACCCTCTTGTCCATTGGGGATGCTGCGGTGGCACTTCCCAAACATGCAGCTGAGTCCGCGGACACATTGGACATCCCTGCGACAGTAGTGGCCCTCCCCTCGTAGAGGAACACAAAGACCAAAGTGTCGATCGCAGGAGAAACCTCGCCCACAGGCCCTGTCATGGTCGCACACAGCCTGGAAAAATAAAACAGGGAAATGAGCCCTGCATGTTCCTAAAAGTGCTGAACATGGAGTTATGTAAAGACTAATAAAGGTGAATTAATATAAGAGAAGCATCATATTCATGCACAGAATCCAGGAATATCTTACCGTGGTTGCTTTGGCTACAGGATCGCTCTCTCTAAGTGCCTTTGCTCCATCTTTGGGAGGGCTGTGAGGCATGTTGAGCATCCAGGCCCATATACGACCTTCTGCCCAGGAGAAGCAGAGGCACAGGCAGAGTATCCACAAATTCCCCAACATTTCCACCAACCAAAAAAAAACAAATCAATAAAAAATAAGAATAAGAGAGACTGAAATTGATTAACTAGATAGCGTGACTCAAGAGAAAGAAAAAATGAGTCACTTATCTATGACTCCACACTATATACAAATCCAAAGCTATTAAGTCCCAGTAAATGTGTAGAGTCAAGACTGTAGGGATCCATGCAGTGACAGTGGCTGCCTCCTCTTCCAGCATGACTTTTATAGGTCACCAGGGCTTGACTTCCCCCCACTGGGCTGTTTGTCCAAGCAACAGGGTAGGAGGAGACAATTAGTTGTTAATGGATTAACTAAATTGCCTGGGTCACCCCCCGCAGCCAGAAAATAGTGGCAAAATGACCAGTCGTGGAGCAGGGAGAAAGAAGGGAAAGAGGGGAGATGGGGCCGGGAGGGGATGGATGGACGTGATGGGCTGACAACAGCTTCACACAATAGAGCCGGGACAGGCACCACCTCTGTGTGGTTATCTCTTCCAGACAAACAAATGAGGAGGACAAAGGCAGACAAATGCATGACATGTTTCACTACTTTGAGTGACAGGTAAAGCCACTGCAGGTCCCGGCCCCCAAACACTGGGCAAACACTCTTGGCCCCGACCTCGACTGCCCCGTTGCCCCCTACCCTATCCCACTTCAGACCCCACGCTGAGAGCAATTTGCAGAAGTGCACCCTGCAGACGACCCCATGATCTCATTAAATGTAATTACCATCAGCCATTAGTTCTCGGGTGGGGGGTGAGGGGGGTGAGTGGAGGGGAGACAAGTTGCTCGAGGGAGAAAAACTGATTCATTTTTGCACATCTTTTTCAACAACGACAGGTTTGCTTTTACTTGCAAACAGGAATCACACCACACATGATACTAACTATAATGCACCGTGGGAAGAGAGTAATAACTTGATATCCTTCAAATTCCACATTTTCCAACGTCAGATTTTGCATTTTAGATGTGAATGATTGTTTGAAGTGAAAGGTTTGATAATATATTATCAGTTTAACTTGAAAATAAGCCAAAGACACAGAAAAATAGAACATACTGTTCTGGTGAAATGCTTCAAACATATTATCATGGGGTAAAAGTGAAAGTAGTTTCTCAACTTGCTAGCTTGTCTTTCATTCACGAGGAGTTTATTTCAAAATGTGTATAACCTCCCTGTCTTGCTTTCATCTGCTGTATAGTTCAGCTTCTTCTCATCACAAGTAGCTGTAATTTATGACATCCTTTTACCTGAAGAGAGTGAGCGGGCGGTAAGGTACCAGTGAGAAGAACTGGCTGGCTGGTTTGAGCAATAAATCCATGAAGGTTTATCATCCAATGTTAAAGGACTGTACAGGATTTTAGTCAGGGGCAATCATTCTATCCTTACACTATAAAGAAATCTAACAGGGATGTTTATTTTAATGTATTTGATTGTCCAACACAGTGCATTGCCAGATGTCACATTTCACTGCAGCAAAAGGTTGAACCAAGTTCCACTTTTCTGCCAGACAACTCTCTGTTTTTTGTCGGAGCCCTCAGCATTTACACCCTTAATGTGTGATTGCAGTGGCGTCACTGAAATGAAGTCAGTTTTACCAATCATTTCCCCACCACACATCTAAGTTGTTTCATGCTGCATGAATCGTGCTCATGTTTCTGTCAAAGAGATGCTAACTCTATGTAGAGCACCAACTCTGATCGACAAAGTAAAATACAAACACTACTGCCTTCTCTGTGCTGTCTCCCAGCAACAGCTTCTTATGATGTTGTTTTTTCCTGTAAGGCTGTGAGGTCAGTTTCTCACAAAAGTCAGCCACAAAACAGTTTTTTTGTCCGAATGGCATCTCTTAATAAGCTCATTGTCATCAACTATTTCCAAAACATCTCTCCTCTGTCAAATTGGCTCTACCTGAACACCTTCTTCTGGTAAAACTCCCCTAAATTCCTCCTAATAACTTAACCAGTCAGAGAAACTTCTATAACTTCTATTTCAGGGTCATGGCTAAAAACTAAGGTGGGCTATGGCATGTGTGTAATCGACCAGGAATGTGCGCTTGCATGTGATGATTGATTGGCCAACACAGTGCCTTGCTGGATGAGGCTGCAGTGCCTTGGCACAAAAGGATTCAACCCTTCTGCTGGACGACCATGCCTTATTTTGCTGAAGTCGTCTGCATTAACACTCCTATGGCTTTAATATACTGCCTCCATTCAAATGAAGGAGGGGGTTGGGTTTTTTCTCACACTACTGATGTCTGTCTGATTGCGCTTTTAATGTTGCTACTTCTCAACATTTGAAATACCTCTCAGAGAAGCCAAACCTGTGCCTATTTTGTAATTAAAAGTTCAACGTGATTTCATACGTTCAGATTGTATTTTATATGCTGTGTATGTTTTATCTGTTCACTGCACCTTATATTTTTACTTTGCACTACAATTATACCACTTATTTATAATTTTTTTTCCTTTTTCTATATTGCATTTTCTATTGCTTTTTTTTTAAATGTCTAGGTTGTTACTTCATTGTGTTGTTACTGTGTGTAATATATATATATATATATGGTTTGTACACATTGTATTGAACAGATGTTTCTCTCCTTTATCCTTTGGAACTTTTTAACAACTGAAAAGTGCTATCTAAGAGAGATTTAAATTTACTTAATAAACTAAAGCAAGCAGATTTACAAAAAAAATTACATTTTAATTAACTTTAAGTATTAATTAATTTGTTGATATGAAGCAAACACATGAGTGAACTGCATACTAATAGCATCTAGTGCCCGTAACATTTTTCTCTTATGGTCACTCCAAGGCTCCGTAGGCTCTGTCTCATTCATCACAAGCCTCCAGGCTACCATTATTCCTGGTATCTTGCTCAACGGTATTCATCAAGTAATGGTGATCACACTGGAGATGTGATGTGTCTTATGATATCTCCAACTGAGACTGTACAATGCAGAGGAACTATAATATCAGTGATCAAAACTTTTGTGTTAACCTGTATGAATAGCTTTACCCAACATTAGCATTCATTGTTTCATTAGCATTCAGTATTTTCACTCAGACTTAGGTGCCTGGATAATTGTTAGTAATTTACATATTCTTAGTGGCAGACAGGACAGATTGGTTACGTAGATATCTCAGCTCCAGGTAGTTAAGTCCTTATCAAAACAGGCTAACACAGACTAATGACGTAATTGGCGGTCAATTAGTAGACACAATAGCAGCAACTGGATCAATTAGCAATATGTAAATAAGTACTGTAACGCGGTTCTGCAACCATCTGAGCAGTTTCATTATTCTGATTCGTGTCGTGAACGCTTAGTGGTACGATACATTAATGATAGATTGGGGAAAATATTGGGATGTAAAAAAGTGGTGACAATGCATTTATGTCAAATTTATCATCTGAGTCACTGAGATTTATGAGTTTTAATGTTTGCAGACTCATCATCAGTCAGACTGTATTTGGCAGTCCACAGCATATGTTATGTAACTAATAAACTGAGAATTTGAAGCAGATCACTAACTGTACAGATAAATTCTCCTCCCATCCAGATGAGACGTTTTGAATTTTGAATTCCCCGTTCTTATCACGCTCCTCCAAACACGTATTTTGGTTCTACATCTGTACTTACGGCAAGATATCCCCCCTTTTATTTACCCAATGCCAACGGCAGATAACTGTCTCCAAATACTCCTTAACATGCTCCCCCAGTGATAATGACTCTGCTAATGACGTTCGTAATGAATGTGCTCACTGTCACAATCAACACTGCTGTGGGTCTTGCAATTAGGGACAAACAAAAACAATGGGCAGGGTGAGTTTTGTCCATTGTAATGGACCTTGACCCCCCACAGGGAGCTCTGAATGGTGGAGGGCACGATGAGTCTGCCTTCCCACCAACAAAAAAACATATTCAGAGTAGGAATGGATGGACGATTGGTAATGAGTTCGACAGAGTGAATGTGTATTCATGGCAATGGAGAACAATGAGGTAAATGTTTCTTTAATATAGTTTCAAAACTAATCTGCTAAGGAGACACTGAGACAGAAGACAGTAGCTTCTCAATCGTATAATAGCTATAGATAGTGGAGGGTAAATGGATTATAAACAAGTAGTGCTATGTTAACTGAGTTATTTGTTCTTTTTTATGATCCAGTATGTTTTATTCAACTGTTAATGCACACTGAAAGCTGTGAGAAGAAGTTGTATAAGTGGAAATCAATGAAGTTTGGTTGGTCAGAGGTCATTCGGGATGTAAATATAATCTATCAATAAAATACAATTTATCAAGCATGATTATTTCAAACATGATGCACTCATCAATATGTTTATATTAACAATGGCTCAAGAGCATTAAAGGTTCAGTGTTTTACGTTTAGGAGGATCTATTGGCAGAAATGGAACATGATATTCATGAGTATGTTTTCATTAGTGTATAATCTTGTTTCGTTGTTTTCTCCTGTAGTAGTACCAACAGACAAACCAACCACTGGCAGTAGATATGGCCATTCAGGTGTTTCGTGGTCACCGTAGTTTCCCCCTTGCAGCTGGAAATGGACGGTGAAATGGTGAGTGAACAACAACACCGCCAGATGCCACTAAATCCTACACACTGGACCTTTAGAGGCCAATATGCTATTTGTCAGATGTCAAATAGCTTTGAACACCAGATTGGGAGGGCTGTTTCCAACTATTTCTGTTACTTTCTGAAACAGATGATCCAACATTCACACCCACTTTTCACCATGATTGGCAATCTCTCTCTTTTCACTCTTTTTCATTAATTGCATTTATCATTTTTCAAATAAACAAACCAAGTGCAACACTATGAATGCCTTCCAGGACAGACTGTCTGAAACTGTGTGCCATTATCCGTAACTTTAAATGCATTTTAAGTTCCGAAGCTGTTCGATCATCCAACAGGCGGTTCTGTTGCACACAGTGTTCTAACATTAACTTCCAGCCTTAAATCTAAACTGAGGTCACATTTTAAAATGAGGTGCTAGAAATGCCTCAGAGCCATTTTTTCAGTCTTAGTGGGCAGCCATTCCACACCTTTCATAGACAGGGCTGTGGTTTTATATCACTCCTTGTGAAGTGAAGTCAGGGGTGAAATGAAGGCCCATTATGTAGTGTAGTGTTGTATTAGTTTACTGAAATTTCAATTTGGCTCTGAAAAGGTTTCAGGACAAATCAAGCATCCTTGTGGTCATGAAAATTAGCATCTAAAAACAAAGGGAATTATACATCTATTTATATATTTTGTTAATGATAACTGTACCCCCTAGCATGTATGTGCAGTATATGAACACCTAATAAATGCTTTATAATTGTCTTAAGTCATAATTAATTCTTAATAACCCCTTAATTATTAACTATTAACAATTTATATACATGTACAAATCATTCACATGTGGGTTTACAGCTGTTAATAGATCCTTAACTGTTTATAGACCGGTTATTAATTCTTCATATAAGTAATAGTTATAAATATCTATTCTATATAATCAATATAATCTTAAATATGATTTTCTTTAGTCAGAAATTGCATCTACAAAATCTTAAAACCAGAATCTTCTGAGATTCTTCATTCACCTGTTTCAT